CCCGCGTCTCCTGCATCGGCAGGCGGACTCTCAAGCACTGCGCCACCAGGGAAGCCCAACAGGCTTTATTTTTTAGAGCAGTTTTAGGTTTACAGAAAGATCGGTGAGAGTTCCGTACATCCCTCGTCCCTTCCCCGGGGAGTCTGTTATGGTCACTGACCCAGCGTGGACAGGCTGTTTCTCACGAAGCCGGCAGGGCCATGAGGCTGGCTCCTGGGTGGTTACAGTGTTGCCCAGGGTCGTCTCACGGGCCTCGCCTCCCTGTGCTCCACCGACTTGTCCCTCCTAACCCATTACTGTGCCTCGCTGGGCCCTCCCCAGGCGTGGGGTGTGGGCAGGTCGGGGTGACCTGCGTGACCCCTCTGCCTGCCCACGGCCCTGGTTTCTTGGCGAGAGCCCAGGCCTCGCCGCGCTCTCTGGGGGCGTCTTCCCTTGTGTGGAGGGTAACTTTATCTTCTGAACCAAAAGGGATAAAGGAAGAGAGGAAAGCATCTGGGGGAGCTCCCTGGCTCTTCGCGGCTCTCGGGGTCACTGGCTGCCCGGCCCGCCCTCTGTCCCCAGCACTCTCGCGTGGACCCCGAGGAGCTCTTCACCAAGCTTGATCGCATCGGCAAGGGCTCGTTTGGGGAGGTGTACAAGGGCATTGACAACCGCACCAAGGAGGTGGTGGCCATCAAGATCATCGACCTGGAGGAGGCCGAGGACGAGATCGAGGACATCCAGCAGGAGATCACGGTGCTCAGCCAGTGCGACAGCCCCTACGTCACACGTTACTTCGGCTCCTACCTGAAGGTGCCTGTGGGCTGGGGGCTCGCCCTGCGCCAGCCACGCCCACGCCCGCCCCTCCGGGGGCCGTCCAGGTTCCCTGTGGCCAGCACGGGGACAGCCCCGGCAGTCCCCGTGTCTCCTTGGGAGGCCGAGGCTGGGTCTGCCCCCACGTGGGCCTGGTCTGAAGGGCGGGGGTCCCGACAGGTGAACACGGACCTAGCCTCGCAGTGGAGAGGGCCCCCAAGAAGCGACAGCCCCCAGGACCAAGCGTGCGTGCAGAGAGGGGCCTGGCCTCGTCCTGAGGGGGAGCCCTTGGGAGGGCAGGGCGTGAGCAGAGTCTCTGGGGTCGGCCGGCTCTGGAGTGGCCCGGCTGCGCCCGCTGCCTGGGCAAGAGTGCGTCTGCTGGGAGAGCTCTGGGCCCCCCTGCAGCCGGAGCCTGGAGCCCTTCCCAGGAGGGCTTTGAGGGAGGGGGCTTGGCTGTCGACCGGGCACTTGGTCTGTCTGCAGAGTGTCTGCAGCAGGGGCGTGGTGGGAGGGGAGCCAGGCTGGGCTGCTGCAGCCCGTCCCTGGTGGGCGTCCTGGCTCAGTCACCCCTGCTGGGGGCGTGTGTCGGGGTCCCATGCTTGTCGGCTGCCCCGTGCTGACGCGCGCTTCTCTGGTACCAGAGCACGAAGCTGTGGATCATCATGGAGTACCTGGGTGGTGGTTCCGCCTTGGACCTGGTGAGGTGTGGGCCACGTGGTGGGTGGCCCGCAGGGCGGGGCCGGACTGAAGTTGTCTGGGGGTTGTCCTTGGGCCCTGGGTTCCGGTGACCTCCCTCTGCCGTCTTGGCGCATCGGATGTTCCTTGGGACCCAGCCGGTGCTGAGGGGTCCCGGGCCTCTGGGGGGTAGGGCGGTTAGCTCCCCCAGGCATACAGCTCAGGGGTGTGGCCGGGACTCCGTTCTCAGCTGTTACGTTTACAGCGAAGGTGAAGGTAGTGTGTGTCTGTCCTCAGAAAAGGGCCTCCCCCACACCCACATGACGTGGCATCTGGAACTTCTCTCTCGAGAGTGGGTTAAGAAGTAGGAAGCCCCCGCCGTCCGGAGGGTCACCCCGCGCCCGGTAGAGAGGAGGTCGAGCTCAGGCCTTGGCGCTGGCTCTGGGTGGCAGGGAAGGGAGGGTGGGTCGGCGTTGCAGGGGAGGCCCGAGTGTCTCCTCTGTGTCTGCAGCTTAAGCCGGGTCCCCTGGAGGAGACCTACATCGCCACCATCCTGCGAGAGATCCTGAAGGGCCTGGAGTACCTGCACTCGGAGCGCAAGATACACCGAGACATCAAAGGTCCCTTGGGGCTGTGAGGTGGCAGGCAGCTCTAGGGCACGGGGCTGGCGGTGCTCAGTGCGCCCAGCCTGCGCTCCCCGTGGCCTCGGAAACCCAGCAGTTCCATCTTGCTCTGTCTTCCAGAAGACACTGCCAGTAACGGACAGAGCTTTCTGAGTACCGTGTCCCTGCGCGCTGGCAGAGCAGCTTTGCACGTAGCGTAGGAGGGACCCTATTTAGGCCAAAAACATGGACTCTCGCTCAGGTCTTAGATCTGAGAGTGAGGTGTAGTCAGGGCAACCATGCTGGTGTGCACGAGTGGCCAGGCCACCAGGGAGGGACCTGGCTGAGGGGCTGATGGGCGGTGACTGGCAGAGTGAGGGGACGGTCAGGGTCACCTCCGCCTGTTGCATGATTTGGGAGGAAGGGCCGTCGCTCTGTGGGATTTTTCGTAAGAGGCGACCACCACGAGGGCCCTGGAGCCTGGCCTGAGGGGAGCACGTGGCTGGGCCCCTCACCTGCCGGCAGTGCCCTGGGGCCCTGGTCAGGTCGTTGGGCGGACGCCGGGAGGGAGGCGCTTCCTCGGGCAGCTGCGTGCGGGTGGGAGCCCTCGTGGCGCGGAGGGTGACACCCCGCTGTCCTGTGTCGAGCAGCTGCCAATGTGCTGCTCTCAGAGCAGGGTGACGTGAAGCTGGCAGACTTCGGGGTGGCGGGGCAGCTCACGGACACGCAGATCAAGAGGAACACGTTTGTGGGCACCCCCTTCTGGATGGCGCCCGAGGTCATCAAGCAGTCGGCCTATGACTTCAAGGTGGGCGCGGCAGGGGTGCGGGGGGTGCGGGCGGGGATGCTCAAGGTGCCCCGGCTGCAGTGGCCCCGTGTGGCTTTCCGTCCAGGCCGACATCTGGTCGCTGGGGATCACGGCCATCGAGCTGGCCAAGGGAGAGCCCCCCAACTCCGACCTCCACCCCATGCGCGTCTTGTTCCTGATCCCCAAGAACAGCCCACCCACGCTGGAGGGCCGCCACAGCAAGCCCTTCAGGGAGTTCGTGGAGGCGTGCCTCAACAAGGACCCCCGATTCGTAAGCACCTCCAGGCCCCCCACTCCCGGAGGTGCCGGCCTGCATGGCTGGGCGGGTTCTGGCCGCGCTGGAACCAGGCCCCAGGGGACAGCCGTGTGTGTGTGTGTGTGTGTGTGTGTGTGTGTGTGTGTGTGTGTGTGTGTGTGTGTGTGTGTGTGTGTGTGT